GGGGGGGGGGGGGGGTATAAATTGAAGGACTAGTCTCTAACGTTAAGGTTTTATTTCTGGAAAGGAGCAACAGGAGGAGGGAAACTCGATTTAAGATTTTAAGATGAGCAATGCAGAATTACTTTATTAATAATAATAATAGTAATAAATAGTCTACCTTTTTAAGAATCTTTTCTGACTATAGTGATGGTTCTTATTTGCAGGAGTTCCCAAGGTCCTCCAGTCCAGGTTCAATCTTCCTCCATCATTGGTGTGTGTCGCTTGTCCTCCACCCAAAGCCACCAAGTTTAAGATAACTGTGGACACCAACCAGCCACCAGTTGACCTCAGCTCCATCTTCCGAGGTAATAGCACACTCACTCTGTATGAAAACACTTGACAATGATGTGCTGGTGGCGCTCTGTTTCCCAAACAATTAAGGTTCTGTATTTGAATCACAGATTTCCAGAAACCAAAGTTCGCTGTTCTGTTTAAGTCATTGTCTGTGGAGATCGGTATGCAGTATTAATGTGCATTTGTTTAAAGTGGGTTGTCCACTTATTGCAACTGGTTGGCTTGTGCACATGTTTGAAATGTAAACCCACACCAAAAGCTTAGCTCTAGGTATAAGTTATAAATAGGGAACGAATGCTACATAAAGCACAAATCAGTAAAATGTCAGTGATTAAACAATTTTTTCATGCACACTTTACCGTGTGTGTGTCTGTTTAGTTCTTCTGAATTGACTACATCTTACAGTTAATGATTCGTAATAGCCAATAATCAATGACGTGGCTACCTAAGTGTTTTACACAAAACCAGATGATTTAAGCATGAATGGAAAGCTAGTGAAGGCAATGAGAGATGTGTAGCTGTGCGAATGTGTATACATTTATATGAATAATCAACGGTTATGTATCGGTGTGTGGTTGTGTATTTATACGAGTCTGTTTATGCGTGTTTATTTGTGATTCCGTGTGTGTGTGTAGGTCTGAGCTCTGGGAACGTCTGTTCTGCTTCCCAGTTATCTAACAATCGGCCACAGTCAGCAGCTCTGACGTCTAAACACACACACATAGTGTTCATACTGAGTGTGTGCTTTTTGTGTGAATAGAGATTTGTGTAAGCTTATTTTGTGTTTGTACATGCGACTGTATCTTGTTCTCCTTTGTTGGCGTCCTATATCACGATAGCCTGTCCTATCTGTCTCATCTCATAGTTTTTTGTCTTTCTGTCTCTCTCTGCAGAGTTTTCAGCAAAATCAGAAGATAAGGATGGGAATAGTTTGGCTTTCCAGCTTCTGTCAGGAGCCAAGGTTACTGTGCTAGCCTCCAAGACCTCCCGTAAGTCTAACAGCACTGGATAATGAACGGGATTTTAATAAGATTCATCTTTTGGCTCCATTAAAGCTGTTTAATTGTGGGACTAAAACAAGTCTTGCGAATTATCTGTTTCTAATACAGTCCTGTTCCAGGTGTCTATTTTTTTTTTACCAGATGTCTTTCTCATAGGCTGTCTTCACCTGCTAATTTCTTTTGATAGGTTTCAATTACTTGTGATAGAAAATCCTGCCCTTTTGTATTTCTTGGAGTCTTTGAGGACCTTTTGTTGATACCTGTTGGATTAAAAGAGAATAGGTAGTTTGGTAAGTACAGTGGTCCCTCGCTATAATGCGGTTCACCTTTCGTGGCTTCGCAGTTTTGCGGATTTTTTTGTGTATGCTTTTTTTTTCTTCTTCTTCTTTTTTTTTTTTTTTACAGCGCATTGTGTTCTGCATCCTGATTGGCTGTAGACAATTGTCAGTCAGTCTCGTGCCTTTCTCATGTACAGTACAGAATGCATTCAGCTTGTCGAATTTACATAAATCTTCGATCACTAGCAGTGTGACTCTGAAGTGCTGTACTGTATGTTTGTAAGTTTTCTCCCCAACAAACACAACAATGTCGATGAAACGTTTGGCCGAAGGTTTTCAACTTTGGTAGTTTTTAAACATGAGAGAAATTTTCATGCGAAAAGTGTATAAAGTGTGTAGTGAGGGGGTTTTACAGCTGTAAGACAGCTATAATAATTGTACAAATTAAAGCTGGCTACTTCAGAGATTTCACCTATCGCGGGTTATTTTTAGAACGTAACTCCCGCGATAAACGAGGGACCACTGTATTATAATCTTACGGCAAGAATGTTGTAGGTTCGCAACCGGTTGGTCAAAGGTTGAGTAGCTCCTTGAGTACCCTCACTAAGAACCTTCTTTCTTTCTTTTCTGAGCATGAAGGATTGTCTCTATAGTAACCTGCCCAAGGTGTACCCCGCCTCTAGCTGAGTGTCAGCTGAGATAGGCTCTATATACCTGATACTGAGCTTTTAATTTTTACATACACCACTTTAAGTCTGACTTCTTGCATCACTTCTATGGACTTTTACAAACCTCTTTGGTCTGTGTACTAATAAGTTGTAAGATCTGAATTGTATTCACTGACAGCTTTCAGGAGTTAATATGAGACATTCATATTAAGATAATTCAAAAACTTTTTTATTGTTATTTTCAGGTTTTTTGTTTGTTTGTTTTTTCCTCTTTTGGATAGTGAAGCAGTGAAGATAGACACAGAGGAAAGTAGGGTGAGAAAGATAAAGAAGATATGCAGCAAAGGGCCGGGATAGGATTCGAACCCAGACCGCCACTCTTTGGCCGTGCAACATGTGGTTTTCTGCTCATCCACTGAGCTAAAGTGGCACCTGTGATTCTAAAACTGTATATCCCCTTAATCCATTTCTGGTTCTTAGAGATCTTTTTATAAGTATCACTTGTCACTGTGTCACTACTTATATTCGTTTGGTGTTTCATTCTTAACAAACTTTAGTACCAGGTGTTTAAATATATGTTCTTAGTTGCATACACATTTACACATTACACAAGGCTCAGTGGTTTAGATAGTTTTAACTATTTAAGATCTCTAACCATCTTTCGTTAGCATGTATCATCAATTATATTTTCCATATATGCATAAATATTTGATATATTTTATGTGTGTGTTTGTCAGAACGTTACCGTATTCAGAGCGACAGTTTTGAAGACATGTGGTTGGTTGTGAAGGAGCTGGTCCACAGGTTTGACCAGCATTTCTCCAAATTGGGAATCAAGGATTTCAAGAAAAGTTTCAGTGGACCTCTCCCACTGGAGGAGTACTTCCTGTCTGTAGACAAGCACTTCCAGGTACTAACACACACACCGAAGCCAACCATAGGTGTAAATCCTTCATTGTCAAGGGTCAGGGATTAAAAAAGAAATGACTTAAATATCAGTCAATTTAGTTATTATCAGTTCTGTCATCTGTCACCTTTATTTAATTTTATTAAGTTAAACCACAATTTGTCTGTTAAATATTTGTCACTTTGTCTCTTAGCTGCGTGTCAGTGCTCAGAAATATCAGGACCTGCTGTCGGAGCGAGCAGTCCAGTTCCGAGCCATCCAGCGCCGCCTGCTGACTCGGTTCAAGGACAAAACCCCAGCACCCCTGCAGAACCTTGACACGCTAATGGATGCCACTTACAGCCAGGTCAGACACATGCATTGAGGTTTGCTTTTTTGCTTGGAGTCTTAGATACCCGCACTGTCTGATGTAACTCCAAACGCCAATATTAAAGAGGGAGAAGCTATTATTCAAAGAAGCCATCTGACGTAGTTCAGCATCTGTTTGGGACAACTCTGAGAAGAGACCCTCAGGCATGTGGAACAAGCACAAAGCAAGACATCTTATATGACCTCATGGTACCTTAGAAACTTCCAGGAGGGGCGGGTACAAGAAACTTTAGGGCTGGGTACTTACTGAGATTTCAGTACGGCTTAGCATGTGTTTCCCTATGTTTTTATGCTGTTTTGTGTCATCTTGAAAGCACACTCACACAAGAACGAAAGGGAGCATATGTACTTGGGAACAAAAGTATCAGCCCAGTGCCCTGTCTAAAGTGTGTGTGTGTGTGTGTGTGTGTGTCCAACTGGGTGTGAGCACACAGCTAATCACCTAAACAGAGGAAGTCTATAAATCTCCAAAATGTAGCCCTCACACTATAAATCTACACTAACACATCATCACAGTGTGTCTCTGTGTGTGCTGTGTGTATATTTGTGAGGACCAGTTGGACTATTAGCTCTCATGAGGATACTTGTGGAAGGTGAGAACATTTTGGCCAGTGCTCACATTTTGGCACCTTTAAAGGGTGTTTGGGGGTTCAGATTGGTTTCAGGGGTAGAGTTAGTATTAGATATGAGTAAGATTATATGATACTTAAGTTTTATCAAAGATGGTTACGTTGGTCAGGTATGCGAAAGGTGTCTTTTTGCTTTATTTTCTAATAGACCAGGCCTGGGCGATGTAGGGTACATGGATTTCTCAACAGGTGATTTCTTTGCAGTGGTTGAGTGTTATTTTTCAACATGTTGGCTTAGTGTTAAGACCTAATCAGGAAATGAAAGACTCTTATATTTACAGATATATAGATATTTGTGTCAATGTGACACCAGCGGCTGACAGAACTGAAGTATTTGTCACCCTGAAATGAGAACGTGTTGGCCATTCATTTGAGATTATTCATTTTTGGGCAGGAGAAGGCTCAGTGTAAGTGAATGTCGTTTAAACTGTAGAGACACACTGGCATGTGCAGCTGAGGTCCGTATAAAGTCGATTTTAAAACAAAGCAGCTGTTCAGCTTTTGTCTCTCTTTGTTTAACTGTGAGGTATTGGAGGGTGGAGCAGTACTAGTGTCACCGTGATATTGCACGTATGTGTTTGTTAGACAAAGTGATGGTTGCTTGCCCCTATTGTTTATTCTAATTCTTGACTTGGCGGTCATTACTTCCACCTTCCATTAGCCTCTCGTTAACATAGCAGGGCTAGGTGACATCATCTCTTCATTAGCTGTTAAAGCTTTCAGTACATTACTGTTTGGCTTTGTGTGATCAGAGCCGCTTTCTCTGTCCAACAGCGTGCACTAACAATACCTTAATTTAATGCAAATTAACTTCCAGAGCTCTGAGAGTTTGTTGGAGCTTAATGAGCGGAAATTAATGAGCTTGTTGAAGTTCTAATTGCCATTTTAACCCAAATAAATAGTGTTCACCTTGGGTTGTCTTGACTCTTGCCAGGATAAGCAATCAGAGAGCCTGATCTAAACATGTCTGCCTTAAATGTTAATGTGTGGGTCTGCTGAATGTCTACCACCTTAACCATTTATTCAGCAGTACTTATTGTGCTCATACATCAACAGCAGCGTTTTTAGACATGCTGAAAGAGATTTTTTAAAAATCATCAGCGGGTAATTTCAGAACATTTATCTAATTTTTTTTATAACATTAAAAAATCTGGGCTATTGAAAGGGTAGGTTGCTGAAATGGCATGCATGTCATGAACCCCACACTGCTCTTCACATGCTTTAAAATACCATTCATGGCACCCCTCAGCTGGATAAGTGATTTGGGGAGTAGAATGATCAGACATGATCATTTTAAGGTAATCAAAATAAATAATAATCATAAATAAATATACTGCTGCATGTGTTCACATACCTTTCTGTACTGATATGACTTCATGCTCATTCCACATGCTCAGAGCGGTTTTGTAGTAAATTTGGCAAATTAGCACATGCCTATACTGCAGTATTGTTTGGGCTCTCTGTGCTGTTGGTTGTGAAATTAAAATGATTTGATGCTTTAATAAAATGTTGTAGTTGCATAAATGCAAAAAGTGAGCCACATTAGCCCGTTTCTAGCTGGTTACTGGGCAACATGAAGACATTATAATGTGTCCTATATAATTCATTTTTGTGGATGTATATTGAATATTATTGTCATGACATTATAATCATAAAATTGATTTCATAAACTGTCATAGCTGCATAACGCGAAAAGCAGGTCATTTTAGTGGTTGCCAGGCAGCCTGATAACATCATGACATATCACGCAGAACTAAACATTTTTTAATTTAAATTTCAAATAACTGTTGTGAAATTGTGGTTGATCGCTGTCCTTTTCTGAGCCTGGTTCTGCCAGAGGTTACTTCCTGTTAAAACGGAGTTTTTCCTTCCCATTTTTGCCAAGTGCTTGTTCAAAGGGGCTCATCTGATTGTTGGGGTTTTCTTTGTATTATTATTTGTCTTTACCTTAAAATATAAAGTGTCTTGAGGCGATTACAGCTGTGGTTTTAACATGTATATCCACAAATGCAAAAAAAAAAAAGGCAGTTTTTACCTGTTTCTATAGGAAGGAACTTTCAAGAGTCTAAGATGTAAGACGTGATAATTTTTCAGCATTCTGGAACATATTTAATGTTTTTAATTGCTGGTACCAATTTTGGTGAGTAAAACTTTAGAGAGGACCTTTGATTAATTAATTGGTAATCATTAATCTGCAGGGGTTTTTTCTTTCTGTTTTTTTTTAATACGGTGAGCTCATGTAAAATTAAATAACTCTGTGTACACAGATACTTCGTTTTTAGTCACTAATTTACTCATTTTGAAAATCAGTGACAATAACAGCAACCTGACTTAAATGATCACTGTAATCAATGGTTTGTCGTGCATTGACTTGTTGCCATGCTGGAGCCGTACTTTTACTTTCACCAAGGCTTTGATAGAAAAGTATTGGTGTAACTCAAAATAACTTGTCACTTATCAATTTTAGTGAATTAATGTAATTTAAATTCATCATTTCTTTCAATTTACAGTAATGTGATGATATCACATTGTATTACTGGACATTGTTGTTTTTTGACTTTGACATGTAACCTTATAACTCTTAAGACTTCCAGGCCGGAGTTTAAATCTCCTCTCAAAAAGCCATTGGCTCACACTTTCTTTCTCTTTTTAGCTGTTTATACCACTGAAATTTTGACTCTGCCTCCTCAAGCTAATGTGTTCTGGTGTCAATCCTGTCCATCACACTCCCCCCCCCCCTCTCTCTCTCCCTTTCTGTGTCTTCCTCTCTTCCCGCCATCCAGCGGCCTGTATGCGGGAAGTTTCTGACACACTATACACTCTGTAATGTATACACACCCGCCATAATGGAGGCTATCGACGGGCTGGTCGGAAGAGTGATGAATGCATCAAATTAATAATTCATGTCAGTATTAAGAGTCATGCTGCTGATGCCAGGGCCAACTCAGCAGTTTGAATTCTGTAACTGGATGAATTTTGTGAGGATGCATCATATCTTCATTTTTATTAGAAGGCTTGACAAGGACATTAGATAAGCCTTAATTTGCTATTAATTTGGTGTTTTTATCTGTTCTTTTATTTATTTGTTTTATTTCTTTTATTCGATTTTGAATCATAGTTTCTGTTTATAGATTTAAGGGATATGAATTCTTTTTCATTTTCTTGTCATTTCTAATCAACCAGTGTTATCTGCATGTATCCTTGTTTCTATTTTTAATTTGTCTAAAATGCATTTTTAAAGTTCTTACAGTTCAAACTTTTCTGCAACAAATAGTATTTAACAGTCATTTGGTTAAATGTAGAGTCACCTTTTGGGTTTCCATTTCAATAGTTGCAACAGTTTGCTCAGAGGCATTTCAGTGTTCTTGATGTAGGAAGGTAATATATTGTTCATGATTTTTACCAGGTCATTTAACCAGGTCAAAAGCCTACCAGGTAAAACCTTGTTGGAGTAAGAACATAAGATGTTTTGTGGAGGTTTATCCCATGAAGCTGCGGCTCCATGGGTGCATTCACACTGTTGTTAGGATGGCAAAGGAATGTGCGGCTAAACAGGAATGCTGGTGAACTAGGCACCTCTTTCATTTTGGCTCAGAGGAATGTCTGCTGGGTAAATTTTCTGCATCAATCTTGGGCAAACGAGGGGGGATTTCCCCCTCGTTAGCGGTGTGTGTCTCCACATGCAGTGGCCGGCAATCGCCGACGCGCCGTCAGAGATAAGAGGAATGAGCTCCCTGTGAGAATACTCTGTGGTCGGCTGTGCATTTATGCAGCCGAGGATAATATTTCCATTGTTCATGCTGCCTTTATGGGCCTATATTTTATTCATGAATTCCTAAGAGCTAGCAAGCCACGTCTTACTTTATGTGTGTTCGTGTAAACTTTTTCATGTGCCGAATACAGTGGCTTGATTCCAAAATACACCAAGTGCTTGAACTAGCCGAATATGATTGATGAGTTTCAGAATAGAGTAAGACCCATGAATGATTATTTTTGTGTCAGAGTGGCTCGTATAGAAGAGAAACCAGCTATGGACAAAATCCACCAGTTTGTTTGGTGGCTCCAGGAAATTTCCAGCTCTGCCCTGTGAGCGCTTCTGTCTTCTGTCCTGGTTGGAGGTGTGTTTCTCTTCCACCTCCCTCCCTGGTCCCTCCTTAAAAAGTCATCAGTCATCACATCCCCTGTATTTTACACGCTCCCCCTCTAACTGGTGTTTGATTAATTTATGGCTACTAGAGGTTTGACTGGCATCAGTGCTCCTCCTTGTAGCTACCTCATCTGCCTCTCAAATTCAAGGGAGAACTCAGGACTGTCATTCATAGAAATAAAAACTAAATCCCCTAAAACA